CTGAACTCCAGTCACTGCTCGACATCTCGTATAATCTTTAACAAAAAAAAAAAAAAAAAGAACTTAATACTCAAGAGAAACAGAGCTGAGACCAGAGAGACATAGATCTTCCCCCAGGCCCTCTCACCTCCACCAGATTCTCAGAGCAAAGAGACTGTGACTATAATAAACACCGTTTCATTACCTTCTGACCATAAATAGAGAGCTCACTCCTAGTATGCCTCAGCAAACACAGGCAGACCTGTGCCAGAAGACAGTTTGGAACATACATTTCAGTACAAAGTTGATTTGATGCATCTGTATGTAGTTAACTGACACTGTCACTTGAGGTGACCATGGCTGAAGGTTGAGTGTGTACTTCCCTAGTTTGGGGGTGTGGGGGGCATCTAATGGTCATAGTTGCCAAGTTCTGCTGTAAACATTAGAATCATATGTTGCTTTCACTTACCTGAGGCACTTGACACTGCCCTGTAAATAAATAGGCAAACAGTTTCATGCTGTTCTAACAGATTTTTCTCTAGACTCTAAGAGGGTAGAACAAAAAAATCCATATGGAAGATAGCAATGGGGAAGAAGGATCATCATTAAGCCCAGGTTAGGCTGTTGGTAGGTGATTGCCACTGATGAATAAAAGTTGATAATATTAAGTGTGAGGAAATTATTCCAGGTGAAAAATCTTACACTTTTTAAGGCTCAGAGGCCGAGTGCAGGGATTACTTGGGGGAGTGAAAGAACTGTTATCACAAAGTTAATGTTGGAGTTTATATTTGCAGAGGTAGAACAGTTCTAGGTCATGACAGTGTTCAGCATGTGGCTGGTCACTGATGTGTGGGACTGAGGTTGAATAGAGATGAATGTCATTGGAACTACATCATCCACCAAGTTGATTTTTTTTTTTTAAAGATTTATTTACTTATACATGCAAGAACTGAGGTACAGGCCAGAGGTGCAGGGAGTGAGAGGATTCACCAGAGAAAGAGTAGGGAGCAGAATAGACAGATTGACAGAAATACACTGCCGAGGGGACAGCAGCAGGGTCAGGAGAGGTCTGCTGTGTCATGTTGGTCACATCCCTGACTGGGGACTGAACTTTTGCTGCAGTGTCCTGTGAATCACTTTATAATGCTGTGCTTCAACCTATTGCACCACCAGGGAGGACCCCCACCAAGTTGACTTTTTAAAAATCTTCCTATATCTTTATGGTAGAGCTCTTTTTTTCTTTCCTATATTTTAATTATTTGCCCTTAAATAGCAAAAAATTTAAAGGTGATAGAAAATTTTAATCATCTTTAAACCTGCAGAAAAGACAGGTGATCAATCTTTTTAAGGGAAAGAATGAGAATCTTCTAGGAATGAATTCTGTAAGCAGTAGACAACTGTTGTGCAACAGTGTTGTAAAGGGGACCTAAATTTTGAGTGCTGCGTTTGTTTTTGCTGACTTCTGAGATCTCTGTGATTTTTAAGTTACTTGGAGTCTATCTAAATTATAGAGCATCCGAAATTAGAAAATGTTCCATAAATGTAAATGAGAAATGTTGTTTGGTTTAAACTACTTTATTCCATTTTTTTCTCTGATTTTAGTCTTGCTTTCTGTTTTTTCCTCCTTTGAAGTGCATTAGTTTCCATGGAAACAGTGATATCATTGGAATTCATTGGTATGGACAGAGTTTAGTAATGTCTTGTCTACAAGAACATTTTGAAGTTAATTTAAATGATTTTTTAAAACTCAAGGCTCAGATAGGGGAAGGACAAGAAGAGATGAACTATGAAATTGTCTGTTCTCTGCCTGAAATGATATCAACTCTGCCAAATCCTTGATTATCTCAGAATTTGTAGATAGGCTTTTTAAATTTTTTTTTATTTTATAACAGTTAATTTCTACATCATTTTGTACATTTCCCCCCCCCCC